TCTTATCTCCCTTATTAATTTTTTTGATATCTATTGTGTTTACTCTGACTTCAGTGTTCTTTGCATAAACTAGCTCATCCCAGTAAGCTTTAGCTCTCTGGTTTTCGTCTACTGGTTTTGGCTCGGTAGGAGAAAACCAAGGGGGAATATTGTCAGTTCTTTTTAGCAACTCAAAGAGAAAGAGAATTGTGCCGAACGAGGTATTTGGTCTGCGCCAGCGCCAGGCAGCCAGCCAGCATGTGGCAATGGATTCAATCCTTCTTCTCATGGTGACAAACTTTCGTTGAAAGGAGCTGCTGGTACCATTCCTGTACGCCAGCGATGGTACTAGACGGCTGACTGATCTCCAAGCTACTGGCTGCTAGTCACCGTCCAAGTCCGTGTCATTCCACCTCGTTGCCACTAGCAGTTTCGTTACCAGTTTTCACTTTTAACTTCTTCCATTCACTTTTTCTTTAATTTTTCCTTGGCACATCCCCCAATTAACGCTCCATTCACCTCATCTGTTTCACCAACGGGATTTGGGTTGAAGTTCCAGACCCAGTTCCTGGACATATTTCTTGGCATTTTTAATTAACGCTCGTCGACTACTTTCCTCAGCGTTCTCTTCATATCTTCTAACCACCTGCATTACGGTGTCTAGTTACTGTACAGCTTGACCGCCGCTTTGATCTTAGTCAATATATATTCTTCCTCCACTGACTTTTATAACGCCTCTTCCTCCGTGTTTCCCAGGGAGGTACATCAGTTCTGTTGATACCAAGGGGTGTTTGCCTCCGCTCTGGGTGATCACCTTTCTTACCTCTCTGTCTAGTTGTTGTAGGTCAGCAATTATATTGGCCAGATTTGAGTCTAGACATCAGATATTGCAGGACGAGCAGTGTGAACCTTGTTTGAAATTTTCCATAACCGCTAGGAATTTGTAAAAGGATCTCTGCTTCAAACTCTGTGTCAATTCAGAGTCACCGATCTTCACTCCCTCTGAATTCTCAGAGAGATATCCTCTCTTTACATGAACCACTGGCACACTTCTTTTCACTCCATTGCAGACCTACATCCATCATAGCCTCTCTCATAGATCTCATTACCCTCTGCAGTTTTCCTTCGGATGCTACTTAAATCTTACTGAGATCCTCTATAAACAAGGGATGTGTGACTTGCATCTTAATGGGCTTAGAAAGCTTGTAGGCTTTTGTTGCTTTTAATTTCCAAGCGACAGGATTAATGCTTAGCGTGAATAAGCGTGGGCATAAGGCATCTCCCTGGGGGAGACCCCTCTTGAATCTTATTTGGTCATATGTCTCCACTCCTTGCTTTGTTCTCTCTACTTCGTATTCCATCGCGAACTCAGTCGGTATACCGCTTTTTCTATCCATTCCGGGAACCACTGAAGCGTTAACACCAGTTTCTCAGCCATTGATGATCAACAGAATTGTTCGCCTTGCTCACATCGATGCGGCCCATACGCCTCTTCGGCTTTCCTGACAGACCATGCGATCTATTCTCTATCGTTCCGCTACACCTTTCTTTAGCCCCTCAGGACTCTGATCCGCCTGCATGAGATCGTTCTGACTCATTTAAATGTTCGTTTACTGGGCCGAGTAAACTGTAAACCACTTGTAGAGGGTGTTCAGGCACGTGATTGGTCGTTGATTGTCGCTGGTAAACTCTTTTTAGCTGGAAAACTTTCTTCCACCAATAATTGGCAGTTCGATCTGGGTCGGGAGCGCGCCAGTTCTTTTTCTAAGTGATCACCCTCACGGCTTGGGTGTGGTCCAGCTCAAACTATCCCAGCTCAAACTATCCCCCTCTGCTGGCATGCCTTGTAAAGCCTTTTGATAGTTTCGAACGGGAGAAAGTGACGTGATCTTCTCAGTGCTGCTCTCATTCTGTAACCCCTTTTTTCAACTGAAGAGAAATATGTTCCTTAAAAGCAAGCTTTTTGTCCAGAGTTACTCCTAAAATTTTTAAGTGTTCAGAAACAAAAGTAGGTTGAGTTTGATCGTCCGGGTGAACGTAGTCCTGAATAGGACTGTTGTTGTTGTCAGTGACTGACGTTTCGACAACCTGTGCGGTAGTCATCTTCAGAGTCAAAGTGAGTTGTATCACGTCAGTTGATGGTATTATACTCTGGTTATTGATCTGATTGGTCAATTACGTCGCGATGTTATTGGTCGTCTGTCANTTGTTGTTGTCAGTGACTGACGTTTCGACAACCTGTGCGGTAGTCATCTTCAGAGTCAAAGTGAGTTGTATCACGTCAGTTGATGGTATTATACTCTGGTTATTGATCTGATTGGTCAATTACGTCGCGATGTTATTGGTCGTCTGTCAGTTAAGCCGTGGTGTTATTGGCTATGAAGACTCGTAAACAGTAATTGGTGCGTTTCGATCCGTCTATTGTCACAGTTAAACAGTCGTCTATTGTTAGTCAAATTGTTCGGAAACAGTTACGGACGCATTATCGATTCGGAGGGCGAATTCATAATTTGAATGACCAAGGACGAGAGCTTGTGTCTTGTCTGGGTTTATTGTGAGATAATTTAAGTTGTAATAGAAGGGGGGTTCTGCACAGTAGTGGAGGTGGTGGAGTGACGTCATAATAGCATAGGGGATTAAAATGATGAGATGATCATTTAAAAATAGAAAGGTTTTCTGTAACAACCAAGGGAATTGAGGTCATCAAAAAACGACGAGATCATCATCAAAATAATCATTTAATATGGTAACTGGTGAGATGACATCATCAGCATAAATTATAAATGGTTTTTTGACATGATCAGCTATTTTCTATAGTCTATGACATCATTATTTATTTTTATTTTTATCTTTTTAAGACCATATAAATGAAGGTTATTATTATTAATTATTATTATTATCCAAAACGAAAATGGGTATTATTCAGCCTTTCATAAGAATAAAGTTTAATCATTATTGTATGATCGCGAGGGCCATAGTTCCCCCTTCGAAAGGAATAACGTCTCTCAAGAAAAACATTTTGCGACCTCCCAGGGTAAACAATTTCAAGCTGAAAGAACTCCATTCTGAAGTATTTCTAAAAGTTAATTTGGGCAGACTCTTGCTGTTCTTGAAATTTGCGGAGGATCTAAAACTGACGCAGGAAGAATGGGGACAGTTATATGCTGTTATTTATCCCACTTTGTCAAATCTGAGAGCAGTTATATAAGGCGATGATGTAGGCAGTAAAATCATTTAAGACTCGAACATTGCGAACTGATTAGAGCGATGGGTTGTTGTCCACCATCGACCACGTTTGGACATCGATAGTCAGGTAATTATGCGAGTTCGTAAGCCCACCGTTGCATACAAATTAGTTCAGCTCTGCAGGAAAAACCCCGAGAGAGAACCTTCGAGTGACTTATTATGATAAAAACAATAATCAAAGGCTCCTAGGAGCGAGCTCATGGATGAATTGAATTAGTGTAGAAAAGACAGTTCAATAATCAAAGAAAAACATATAAATGTTTTTGAACGGTTCATGGTGTACGAACTTGCCAAAATACAGCGTGACTCGAAGTATCCGATTGCATGTGTACCTGAATATTCTAGAAACTTTTTATCAGCGCAGCATTTCTACAGTTACAAAGCAAAGATCACTTTTAAAAGCAATTATTAACGCTCTTTAGTTGTAAAATAATTTGCTTTCTCATGTGACTGTCAAACACTTTCCGATGCTTTCAAATAAATGTTTCCATATGATGAGTACGTAACGGTTAGTATACGCAATACGAGCTATATTAAATACAGAATACAGGCGTTTATGGCTAAATTGAACTGCTTTAGAACGCGCTTTTGATAAACACGAGCTAAAAATTATTTTAACACATGTAAAACGGATTAAGCTCAAAGCAGTTAACGTGCTCTGACCTAGCCAAGTAATTTAAACGCAGTCGAAGTATCCGATTGCCTTTCGCCAGAGACTTGTTTATACCAGCGCAGCATTTCTCGTAGAAATTACATTAATAGCACTGCTAAATGGAATCACCGACAAACAAAAGCCTACTTTAAGGCAAAGATCACCTAAGAATTCAAGCAAAATAGCATACAGGGACCGCGGAGGGGGAGGGGCTGGTAGGGCTGCGGCCCCACCACTTTTTTGCGCCCCCGCCCCCACTTTTTAAACAAAAAAGAAAAATAATCAAAATAGAAAAAATTGAAACAAGTTTTTTTTCTGTCTATATTTCGCTATATTCTCTGTATTTTCTTTAATTTCAGACGCCAGGCATTTTGTGGGGCTCATTTGCTTTTCGCGGTAATTGTGCCCTGGGGCCGACTTGCCCCTTGATCAAACGCCATGCCTTGGCCACCCCTTCGCTTCGTTCGGCAGCGTGTTTTGTACTTCCAGCTCTAGCAGAGTTTTTTATCAGTTTTATCAGACCAAATGAAGAAAATTACTAGCTTTTTCAAGCCAAACGAAGGTGAGTAGTTTTTTGAGTTGATAAAAGTTTTATTTTTTGTCTTTCTCCTTTGGAATCAATGAAATATTCGATGGCAAGAAGAATTACATTACTTGAACAGTAAACGGCCATAGTTAGAAATTTTCAGATCACTTCAGTGTAGTATTTTCTATGCTAAAATTGTAATCGCGTCTTTTCTTGAATTGAATTCGGTATCTTCACTAATGCCGACCTATAAAGAGTAACAAATACTGGATAAAGTATGCAAAGTCACGCGACAGAAACAAATCAAATACTATGATTTTTTTCCTTTTTTCGATTTTCAATATGAAAAAATTATTTTCAATTGTCAGCCCTCCCACTTTTCACCTTGCTCCGCGGTCCCTGGCATAACGCTTGTTGGTTCTAAAACCTGTGCTTCTAGTTGAAACAACATTAATTCATTCCCTGTTTGCACACGAAGACAAATGGTCGAACGGATTCGTCCAAACAACTGAATAAACCTTAATAAATACTCCTCAATGTCGCTTTAACAATTCGAGGACAGTTTTTTTTGCAGTGATTATAAGGCTCTTTGGCTTATTCGCTTTTCGCTGAACGAAATCCCATCGTCAGGCTGCAATAGCTCTTTCTCGATCTTTCACACTCCTGTTGATCGCATCTTCTTCATATCAACTGAGTACAATATCGGGAACAAATGTGCACAATTCGTCCAAATATACAACAATGATCCATGCTCAATTATTTCAATGTCCTTTTAACAATTCTAAGTACATTTCTTGCGGATGATATTATCAGTGTTCTTTAAAATATTGTTATTTATACAAAACCCCTTCTCTATAATTGATGTGTCGGGAAAAAAAAATTCGCCTTACTAGTACCCCCTAGAATATTCCAAACATATACGTAAAAGGCACTTGGAAAAAAAGTAATACTAAGTAAGGGAGGTAGGAGTAACGTGTTTAATCTGACTTTAATGAATAAATTAATGAGAATCGAGTGAGTGAGTGAGTGAGTGAGTGAGTGAGTGAGTGAGTGAGTGAGTGAGTGAGTGAGTGATCGAGTGCCATTCGAGTGCCTCCAAAAGCCCATGGCATGACTACGTCATCTATGAGCTAAAAACAAAATAACTTAACAAGGATCAATCGAAATACGCGACTTAAAATTGCTAGTAATAAAGCCACAAGACAGATACCGTTTTAAAAACTTTATTAAAAAGCAATAACAAAAAAAATGAGTCAAATACACAGCGATTTGAAAGGAAAGCGAATAAAAGTTAATCCTTTGATTGACTATTACAAATCCGTTTTTTCCGTTCTATTTCGAGGAATAATAAATAATCCTTCCGTGTCTACACAATTTTCCTATGTCCTCTAAGACAAGAGTTCGACTTGCTTTGTTTCTTGCACTTTGTCTTGTTCTTTGTAGTCGGTCTTTTAGCTTTTGCTTCAAAAGAGGCCTCATTTCTCTGTGATCTTGACAGTTCGCAGTACACCGTTTCTTGTGTCTGTACTGGATTGCGACAGTGATTTTTTCCGGAATTATCTGCTTCGCAATTCGTAAACGACGACTTTAACTTTAGGTTGCAGTTTTGCCTCTTGTAAATACTGTCTTCGCTGTATGTGGTCTAACTGATGAACATCCACGAGATGGTTAGCTAATCTGACAAGGTACTTCGCCCCACACAATGAAATAGGACAGTTTCTGCAAACTCTCTTGTAAACTGAACGGGCAAGGGCCAATTCCAAAAGCACAACACGTTCACGATCAGCAAATGTTTTTACTATTAACGAACCATAAAAGTAAATTCCTACAAAGAGCGAAAAAATGATAGTTACAATACAGAAAAACTACTTTAAGGCGACTGCAAAATGAAATTAATGAAAAACGATGAAAACGAAGCTGCTTACCAAATGCTGAGGATGACAGGGTTGGTGGTCAGGGCCACCGAGGAAAATAATCTACTTCCACTAATGCTGTTACACTAATAGACACGTAAACTGATAATAAAAAAGGGCGAGACAACAAACTATAACGAAATTTACATACAGCACGTAACAAAGGAGCGTAATTAACGAAATACCGGAGAGCGAAAAGAAAAAGAATAGAAGCTAACAATTAAGTAAGTGAGAAAACGAAAAACAAAAGGAAAAAAATTCGCCCCAAGATAAACCATGTTGACAGTTTGATGGCTGAACACAAATGACATCTTTTTCGCAAATATTCAGGTTATATAGAGTGTCAGAAAGGCCAAACACAGGCCAGAAAGGCCATAACCAGGCCTGAAAGGCCAAAACCAGGCCAAAAGGGACAAAAGGAGACAAACGGGCCATTTCTAGTGATGTGTCTTTATTTTTCTCAGACTCACGCGTGGGTGTCGCCCGTCGCTAGTCACGCAACAGCTCTCGACTTTTTGAAAGTCTACTTTATTCAGTGTAATCACAAATAACAGTGCCTAATTAAGAACGTTTTTCATAGACTATAGAAAATAGCTGATCATGTCAAAAAAACATTTCTAATTTAAGCTGATGGTGTCATCTCCCCAGTTACCATATTAAATGATTATTTTGATGATGATCGCATCGTTTTTTTGATGACGTCAATTCCCTAGATTGTTATACAGAATACCTTTCTATTTTTAGATGATGATCTCATCATTTTCATCCCATGAGCTATTGTGACGTCACTCCACCACCTCCACCACTGCGCAGAACCCCCCGTCTATAACTACTAATTTACATTGAACGAGTCCGATAAGGAGCTTAAGGCATCGTTAATTGGTGTCAAATTCTAGGAAGGCTGCCGAGGTATCAGCAGTATAGTTACATAGTTATATCATCCGCGTATAATCTTGCAAAAGTGATTTAAGACGCTTTAAAAGATATTGAACAGGAGAGGGAAAAGAAGAGAGCCTTGGGGAACACNGTCAGAAAGGCCAAACACAGGCCAGAAAGGCCATAACCAGGCCTGAAAGGCCAAAACCAGGCCAAAAGGGACAAAAGGAGACAAACGGGCCATTTCTAGTGATGTGTCTTTATTTTTCTCAGACTCACGCGTGGGTGTCGCCCGTCGCTAGTCACGC